TACCTGTCTCTCTCTCTCGTTCCCTTTTTGGAAAATCCTGAAAACTTTTAAGTAAAAAAAAAAACAAACCACTTTGCAGGGATTTTGGTCTCGTTGTCTCCGCTTTAATCGATAATTTAACCGGATAATCTCTTCGCTCGCCTGCCTGGAAAGCTGCATCAGAAGAAAAGTCTTCTTGCCTTCTGCTGTTGGTACATAGAACGTAGAATCCAGAGGCTGAAGGGACCTCGGAGGTCTTCTAGTCCAACCCCCTACTCAAGGTAGGAGATCTCTATCCTGCTTGAATGGCCGCCCAGTCTATTAAAGTGTATCTTTAGGCCCTCAGATTAGCTGCTGATGCTAGTTACCTAGCAGGAGCAGGTAAACGCTGAATTGACCGGGCTCTGCCTATTTTCCCTGGTAGCCAAAGCAGTAAAAATAATTATTGACTCACAGAGGAAGGGAACAAAGACTGAAAGGCTGCACTGGGGCATCTGCAAGCGAGCAACAGCTGAGGCCTCCGGGCTGTTTATCCAGCAAGGATTACTCAGTCTGACCTCCGGATTAACCCCCCGTTGCTAACAGCAAAGCCCCTGGCCCCGGATTCCTTCCGCAAATCCCCCCTCCCCACACATGCACACCTTTTCACGCCTCTGCCAGAGCCCCGGGGCTTCCCCAGGGAGAGGCAAGGAGAGGCCGTCTACCTGCATATACAATGTCAAGTTTGCAGGGTTAGATGACTTGATCTCAGAGGGTCTGGTCAGCCAAGGCAGAGAATTGGATGCACAGGAGGATAAGGGTTTATAAGGCAGCTTTCCCCCCCCCCCCGCTCCCCAAATTTCCAAGGATGGTTGTGTTGATGGGACCTTCGAGGGCAGTTTTGTCAGTCTTTGCAACTTTTAAGATGCCTGGACTTCAACTCCCAGAATCCCCCAGCCGGCAAACTGAAGCCACAGGAAATCCCTGCAGTGGTGTGCAAACTATATGAATCTTAGAGGCTCCCTCGTCACTTTCCACCTTGCTGCTTTCAATCCTGGGGAATTTGCCGCTCTGCTTTTTCCTACGGCAAAACGAAGCCGGTGGAGCTGCACCGAACAGCAGCTGCACAATTCCTGGCCCACCGCCTTCCCGCCAGTCTGGAATCAACCCCTTCCGAAGACCCTCCTCTCTTGCAAGAAGGCAAAATGCGGCATAGAAACCATCATCGGCAACCAGAGGAACCATAAACAGGGATAGGAGCATGGGAGGAGGAATAGGCCGAAGAGGGAAGAGGTCGGATGCTGGGTAGAATACGGGATGGGTCATTTCCTATTCAGAGCCACTGAACTGATGGGTGGTATGGGACTGACAGCCGGCCAGAAGATGGACAGACAGAAGGATGTGGAGAAGCAGGGTTTTTAGCAGCGAGAGAGAAGAGGACGGTCCCGTCTGTTTGCAAGGATGCTTCGGTGGTTCCCTAGCTAGCCAGGGGCCCTCGGCGAGCCCTCACCCGAAACTAACCATGTTCCTCCAGCTGCTAAGGCAGAGGAAAAGCACCTGAGAACCTCTCAAGAACCTTTCCCTGTGCAGAAACGGAGCTTTCGAGAAACGCTCTCTTGCCCAAGCAATCCCTCTCCGGAAAATGGGACAACAGATTTACCCGTTGGGAAAGCAATAAATAAACAGGGATCTTTTTCCGGCAAGCAGAAGCTGCTTCAGGAGGAAACTTGGGGCCCAAGAGACACTCAGCGTTTGTTCTCCAAAGAGCTTCGAAAACAGGTGACGTGTGCCTGGCCCGAGATGAAAGCGGGAGGCAGCAACATCTGTGGGCGCCTGGAGGGAGATTTTGCCCTTAATGATGCCAACAAACCTCATCCAAACTTCCTCAGCTTTGGGTCCCAGATGTGGGAAGCCGGGTGAGATTTCCAGTCGGCTCTGGGCGCCAGTGGGGTTTGCAGGGGGAAGGGAAAAAATACTTTGCGGGGGGAATCCGAGGGCCAAAAGTCAAGCTACACACCAACATGGATATGGTCACAAAAAATCCACCCACACTTACATGCATCATGTACGTGCCACAGGTCCATATTTTCTGTGTGGTGGAAAGTCCACATGGAACCTCAATCCCACCATCTTGGGGCCAGCCTCTGCAGACCCCCAGCCCATGAAATAGTCTCCCCGGCAAATTGTTTCCCTGCTTCTCCCCTCCTGCTCTTCCCATCGCACCTGGGGACTGAGCCAAACCAGTCACAGTTAACACAGTTGTCGCTCGGATTATTTGCACGGCGATATAAGTGCCCTGTGTGGCACATAGGGAGTATCTGTGAGACACTCAAGGTGCTGGCTGATCTTGACACGACGGAGCGGGATGATTAAGCGTGATTAAAAGGCGGCGTCTTGAGACAGAGAACTAATTGCTCCTTGTGACAAGGGAGGCTTAAGTAGGCCACAGGAGAGGCAGCCATTCGGTCATGAGATGGCATTTAGCAGCTTGGCTTGGTGGTGTAGCAAGCCACTCAGCCTCCCAGGCGTGCCTCGGTTGCCCAATCTGCCGAAAGCAGGTTAGATGGCTGTGTCCTGACCTCCCATGGAGAGGTAGGCCCTGTTCAATCACGATCGCCTCGCCCAGAGAGACATCTTCCAAACCCTGGAATGAAGGCGCAGCTGATCAAAAGCATCCGAAAGACGGTGGTTGAGAAAACGCGGCTGAGACAGCCTGTTCAAAGTGGAGCCCCTTCCCACCAAAGCAGCTGGCACCACAGCCAGATCCTGGTGCATCTCGATTGCAACAGGTCCACAAGGGAGCATGTAGGGAAAGGATGGCCTCATGAAGGTCTCGCGATTTGGGAGTTCGGCATGGCGATGGTCTATCTCAGTGTTTCTCAACCTTGGCAACTTGAAGATGTCTGGACTTCANGTTTAGCGTTAGGTTTAGGGTTAGGTTTGGGGGGGTTAGGGTAAGGTTTTCTCTTTATTTTTACATTTTTCGATCTTTTTCGTCGCGCTGTGATGACGTCACATATGCGCTTTCGTCGACCGCGATTTTGTCGTCCGCGGTTTTGTGGTGGAACCATATTATACAATCTTTCCCGATACATGCAATTTATTTCCTTTTCTTTCTTGTTACGGCTTTTTTCTTATGTGAGGCACCCGTGGGTGTCCGTGGGAGCAGAGTGTTTTTTTTTTTAAGCCTAGGTCCATGAATAAATAAATAAACAAACTACATCTTGGCTTCATTAGATCTGCGGAGTGGCCACGGGACCTGATGAAGTGAGACATAATTCTCCAAGGCTTTTCATGAAATCATTTAGCCTGAAAATGAGGAGCTCCCAGACTCCGTCTGATAATTAACTAGCCCAAGTCATAATAATAATAATGGGGACTCATTAGGGATTATTATATTAGACATTCAAGGCGAGAACAGCAACTTCCGCAGGAGCCCAACAATACCGCCATGGGTATCGCACCAAAAATACCTTCCCCAGCCTCCTGCACGCATTGCAAGAAGGGCCACAGACACACAGACACACAACACCACACAACCAGAAGGTCTCTGAGCACCAGCCGAGGGTCAGGACCCATCGGGAGCAATGCACTGGCCCTCCTGCCCTAGACAGAGAAGGTGGGCGCAGGGGTACCTGCAAAAGGAAGGGGAGACAGAAAATATGGTCCCAGCTTCCCTTGAGAAACAGCAACCCAAATCCCACTATTGTTGTTGTTGTGGGTTGCAGAGTCAGCCAGATGTTTGGGCCCTTCTGCCCACCTATGGAGGCCTTCCCAAGGACTGGCAACAGACATGTGTTGTTGCTGAACAACGTCCAAGGTCCCCTGGAAAGAAGAAAAAGCTGCCTTTTGCAATTGGGCCGAGGGTGATTTTGTTATTGCCGTCCTCACCACTTCATCAGCTGCCCATTCCAGCCGCTTCAATTAAAACAATTAAACGCACAAACCAAATTAAACAACACAACCCGACTGAAGGGGGAGGGGGGGAGAACAACCCCCGTTCAAATGTGAACGGCAGGCTTGGAAGCGATCTGGGGGTGTTTTTGGGGGGGGAGGAATCCCGGGAGAGAGGATGCCACGCGTGTCTGGGGGGGGGATGCTGCTCCATTGGGGGAGGGGGTTGGAAAAGGCGGGGTTCCTCAGTCCCACGAGACAGCGAACTTTCCTAGGAGCGCACCCGTGTCTGAAGAGGGCAGTGCCAACGTGAGAAAGGCCGCCCTTCCCTCCCTTCCTGGGCATTCCAGGGGGCTGCGACTCTTCCCCTCCAGCTCCCCGCGCCTCCTGTTTGCAAAGAAGGGAGGGAAACTTTGCCCGTGTTTGGAGAAGGCGCCGGCTGCCTTTTGCCCTCCGGAGGCCAAAGTCTGACCAGCTGGCCGGCCAGCAGCCTCTGCCCCCCACGGCCCCCAGCCTGGCCTGACGTGGAAGAGCGGAGCTCCGACTGGGGCGGTGAGTCAGTTTCCTGCCTCCCCTCCGGAGCCCGGCGGAGAGCTCCGCGTGGGACAGGCAGGAACAGGGACGGGCGGGAGGCGGGCGGGGCCACCTGGGACTGCAGGTGAAGTCAGGAGGAGGAGGAGGAGGAGGAGGAGGAGGAGGAGCGCCTTCCTCAGCCGGCTCTCTCCTCCTCCTCCCCTCCCTTCTCCACCTCCTCTCCTCCCGCTGACTTCATTCCCGGCAGACGCCGCTGCAGTTTCCACGCGGCGAGATCCGGCATCTCAGCAGCGCGCCTGGCCAGGCAGCCCAGCTGGCAGAGGAGATCGGTCGGCCGGGAGGACGAGGAGAGCCCCGGGAACGTCCAGGGGGGACTGGAGGGCATCGGGCGACGGCCGCCCAGGAGGGGAGCGGCAGGAGACGAAGCCCCGTCCGGCACTTCAGACTGAATTCCTCCACCTTTCGTCACCCGGCGCCTCTGGGCATCTGGAAAGTGGAGGGTGGCGCGGAGGAGAGAGGGGACTGCCGAAAAGCTTCTGACGGAGAAGGAGGAGGAAGAGGAGGATCGGCCCAGATAGTCCTCATTCGGGGAGGGTGAGAGACCTCCGGGGCCGTTGACAAGAGTTCTGGGAGAGGAAGTCCTGGAGACCCATTTGGAGACTCCTGGGGACTTTGGGTTCCACAAGATGAGATGAGGAACCAGGCGAGGAGGAACTGGAGTGGAGGCCAGAAGCATCCGAAACTTTGGGGAGGACTTCTCAAGAGCCTTTGGAGGAGCTGAAGGACTCCATTCGTTGCTGCTAACTGTTCAACTCAGGGATACCAACCACTACCTTATTTCTTTGCCCATCTGAGCTCCTGTTTATTCTTGGTGGAGCAGAGGCTCCTCCTGGTTTCTGAGTCCAACCATGGCTTTCTCCCAGGTTCAGTGCCTGGACAACAGCCACGTCAACTGGAGATCCAGCGAGTCCAAGCCCGAATTCTTCTACAGCGAGGAGCAGAGGTTGGCCTTAGAAGCCCTGGTAGCCAGAGGGCCGGAGGCCTTCTACGAAGTTCTCAAGAAGGAGAACATCCGAGACTTCCTCTCCGAGCTGGAGCTCAGGAAAGTCCTGGAGAACTTGGAAACATACGACCCTGGAGCGGAGCATCCCCTCAAGGACAGGAGTGGCTGTGTGGACAGTGGCAGCCAGACCGATGACGAAGGCCCCGGGCCTTCTTTGGAATACTGGCCGGAAAGATCTGACCGATCCATCCCGCAACTGGACCTTGGCTGGCCGGACGCCATTGCTTACCGTGGGGTGACCCGGGCATCTGTCTACATGCAGCCCCCCATTGACTGCCAGCCCCACATCAAGGAGGTCGTGCGCAAGATGATCTTCCAGGCTCAGAAGGTGAGGAGTGGGGGGGGGGGTGTAGATGTCCCCTGGACCAACCTCAACATCTCAGGCGCTTCCTGGAAGGTCTGAGCCACCATAGAGCTGAGCTCATCCTGGGCTTTGCTTATGGCCGCTCTCTGACTTGGTGGCATATTTCATCCCATCTCCCAGAAGATGGGAGAAGAGGTGGGACAGGATGAGTGACAGGCTGAAGAGCTAATGGTTAGAAGCCAGCATCCATGATGCTGGAAAGCCTGGGGAGATAGAATGGGGTGGAAGGAAGAGGCCCCCATTCCCAGAAATCGTCTGTCTCCCAAGAACATGAATCAAAACGGAGCCAAAATCCCAGTTTTTCATTTTTTTAAAAACCCAGCTACTCACCTTCCGTAATCCCAAATAGCTATTCGTGGGGAAAGGTCCTCTGCAGATGCTCAAGAGCACTCTTGTTCTTACGGACTCCTTGAACGGAATGTGGGTTCCATATTTGCTGAAAGGTGATCTTTTACGTTTTCCTTTGTGTCTGGCCTATCTCCCCGGGCGAAACACTGCCCAAAACCATCCTTATTTCTTTCGCTTGGAAAAAGAAATGAAACAGGAAGGGAATTGGATCTGGGCCTCCTAGAATTTCGTACGATGCACAGCTGGGAAAAGACCACGTGGTTCAAAGGCCCCAGGCAACTTTCAGTCTCAGTGTTCCCATCTGTAAAATGGGAGTAACTGTGACCTAGATTTCTCCGGCTGTTGCAAGAAAGAGATAAAAGGGCTACTTATTAAAAATTCAAGCCCAAATTATAAACAACGACCTCAATCAAAAGTAACTGCAAATGTACTCTCTCTTGATTAACATATTTCAAAACCTCCGGTCCAGCCCTGGACATACCTTTCCCTCCTCCTCCTCCTCCTAATTCACTTTCAACTCAGATTAATTAAAATCGGGAGCGTGTGATCCAGGTCCAGATTCATCTTTAATCTTTAGCGCTTCGGTTGACGTTTAGCAATCAAGCATCTGCAGCTGGCGCAAAGGCGATGGCCGTTGCAAAAGACGAAGCTGCCATCCCAGAATAAATACATAAATTTATTTACTTTTACCACATTGGGTTGGGAAACGAAACCTGTCAACGGGCAAATAAAGGTGTTTTTCCGGCGTGTTCCTGCTGGCGGATTCCCACACATTTATATCCCTCTTGAACTGCAGTTATCAAAGGGTAGTTTGTAGAGGGGAAGGGAGCCAAAAAGCAATTTTTTAAAAAAAAATCTTCAGCTACCTGTCATCGAGCCATAATGAGAAATTAAATGTATTATGAGGAATGAAATATAATGCCTGTAATTATATTTGAAAGNTCTTCTCCCTTTCAGTTCAGTTCAGTTTATTACATTTATATGCCGCCCTTTTCCCCCGAAGGGGACTCAGGGCGGCTCACAACTCAACCAGGGAAGGGGGATACAGACAAAAAGTAATTTAAAAAACAAAGCATCACAATGCATAATTTAAAAACACACAACAGTCATACCATTCGAGACGGGGGCAACAGCTCTTTAGCCCCAGGTCTGTCGGAACAGCCAGGTTTTAAGGGCCTTGCGGAAGGCCTGGAGGGTGAACAGCCATAACACAGGCTGCCCGTTAGGGTTGTTTTAAGTCGTGACGGTCATAAAGAGGTTCATCACATAACCAACCCAACTTTTGCCAACTTGTTTTTTCCCACAGTAGTTGTTCGGCAAACGTGGCAGCCGGTTTGCAAATGAGGTGATTTTTGCCAAAACAAAAACAAATTTCAGTTTCCAGCAGGAACATCCTAAGCGCCTCAGCCACACAGGTGCATCCATGGGTGGAATAAAGCGAATTCGGTTTAGCTCAGCACTTTCTCAATACGGGGAGGCTCCATTACGGGCAGCACCCAAAACACATGTCGGCATGTTGCAATGCTGCACTTTTCTGGTTTTCACGCACCACAACTTCCCACTTCCCGCTTTCGCCCCGGCCCCTCCCTTCACCAGCAAGGGAGGTTTGCAAAACAGGCATCGCACAGCCCAAATTATTTGGGCTTTGCAAAGATGCTTCGGTAATCAACTTGGCTGCCTCTTCCATCCGCAGCAAGCCGGTATTGTGCTGAATAAGTCAGACTCGGACGGCCTACCTGGAATGGCCACGCCACACCTTCACCTGGCCCCCACCCTCCACCCATCCGGGTTTGAAGCCACAACTCTGGCTCCCAGGTGCCCCAAATGAAAAGAAATGTCCGTTAAGTGCCGATAGCCAGTTTTTACCTGCCGTTTCCCAGCTAATTTCTGCCCTTCTGTGTCTGCAGCATCTCCGCATCGGCACAATTGGGGGCACGGAGTTTTTCACCCGCTCCGCCATGACGTTCAAGGGAGCCTTGGCTCAGAAGTTCATGTTTGTGGATGGGGACAAAGCCGTGTGTGGCTCTTACAGGTAGGTGGAGAACCTGGAGAAGGCCCTGATTTGGGGGTCCAGCTACCTTGGCTTTGTGCCTTTGTGGGTGGGAAGGAGGCCTCTGGGCAACCAAGGGAAGGAGGGAGGATGAGGAGGGAAAGGAAAGAAGAGCAAAGCAGAGGAAGTGAGGGAGGGGAGGTAAGAGTAGGAGAGAGGGGAAGAAGGAGGAGAAGAGAAGAGGAGTGGGGGGGAGAGAGGGGGAGAGGCAAAGAGGAAGGAGAGAAGGAAAGGAGAAGGGGGAGAAGGGTGGTTGAGAAGATGGAAGGAGCAGGGTTGTTGCAAAACAAGAGGGAGGCGCAGGGGGCGGCAAGAAAGTGACCCACAACTCTGTTTTCTATATTTGTAAGAAGATAAGCGATAAATGTGAATAGCATTTACAAGAATGCCTATGTGTGGATGTCTATGAAAGGAAGAAATATAAAACTGTATACCTGGAAGGAGGCTATTGGCGTAAAAGACCCCCTGTGGGAGACCCTGCAGCCAAAGGGAGGCTTCCTCTCTCATGGGACAGGACAGGCAGAAAACGGGGTGGGGGGCCCCACAACCAAAGCTTCCATACTTAGCTTCCTCTCTTGACCCACAACCAAGATGAACAAGCAACAGCTATCTAGATTTTGTGCAGAAAACAGGTCTAGGAGTGCATGGAACACAAACATTTGGCTGTAAAAATTCACTCTTGCACTCTTGTCGTAGTGCTTCTCACTAGGTTTAAGCGGTGTGGACTTCGACTCCCAGAATCCCCCAGGCTGGAGAGTCCACACCTCTTGAACCTGCCCCGGTTGAGGAGCCCCATTGGGGCAGGTCCGAACAGGGCTTCTCCTTAGCCCGCCCTCCTTCTAAGCCTTTTCTCTGAGGCCCCCAACGTAACCCTTTCACATTCCCTTCCAGCTTCACCTGGTCAGCTGCCCGGACCGACCGGAACGTCATTTCCGTCCTTTCGGGCCAGGTGGTCGAGGCCTTCGACAAGCAGTTCCAGGAGCTGTACCTGATGTCCCGGAGCGTCACCCTCAAGTCCATCCCCATGGGAGAGGAACCAGAAGCCGAGCCGGTCATCCTGCCTTCCGTTGTCTCCCTGACCCCAACCAACTCCGTGGTGAAGAAAATGATCAATCCGAAATATGCTCTGGTCAAGGCCAAAAGCACCGAGCAGGCGGTCAGCAGCAAAGCCAGCAGTGAGAAGGCCCTGGCTGAACAGCGTCCAGAAGCCCAAGGCAAGGTCATCCCCGAGGACCGCGTGTCCGAGAGGCCCAGCAACCTCGTGGAGAAGGTGCCGACCATCCACCCGGGTCTCCTCAACCTGGAGAAGGCCAACATGTTCGAGTACCTGCCCACTTGGGTGGAGCCCGATCCGGAACCCGGAAGCGAAGTTCTGGGCTACATCAACATCATCGACCCCAAGGTGAAGAACATCCAGCTTTCTCAGATCAACCGCATCAAGGTGTGCGATGTCTCCAAGGCCAACGCCCAACACAGGTTGCTCCTCAAGCAGCAAAAGGCCCTCGAGGCCAAGAACAGAGCTGCCCAGGAAGGGGCCACAGAGAAAGCGCCCCAGACTTCTCCCCCACCCCTGCTGGGATCTGCCCCTTCTCCAGCCCACGACCAGCCGCCTCCTTCCAATCCCTTGGCCACCAGCCCCATGGAGAAGTCTCCCAGGCACCTGGTCAACGGGGAGACGATTGCCACTCTGGCCAACAACAAGCACTTGAAGCAAATGCTGGACCCCCAAGNCTTCTGTAATGTTTTTCTCACGTTTTCCTTCTTTCAACCAAGAACAACAGATCAGAGCCACTCCGAACACCTTCGCTCAAAACTGGGGGTCCTGCCTCTTCCTAGAGACCCCCCCCCCAATAACCTCATTTCGGGTTCTCCCAGGTGTCCAAAACCTTATTCTGCCCCTGCGGTTTCCCCCAATCCACTTGACCAGACCAATCAAAGTCAAAATCGTGCAGACTCAGCTGGATTCAATCTGGGATCGCTTGAGGGTGTTCCTCAAATCCAGCCTGTTTGGCTGGTTCGTGTTTGTTGTATTGTGAGGATCCAGAATCCTGGGACTGTGGTGTGAAAACAGCAACATGTCCTCTGTTTATTTTTGAAAAAGGAGGTTTGGCTACCGAGATCCCTGATTTTTCCCTTTCGGCAAGAAAAGTCCCTTAAAAGTCTTTGGCCAGAAGAACCAGGAACCACCTACATTTAAAGTTTTTAGAGTTTGGGTGTTTTTCTGTTGTTGTTATTCAGTGGTTCCCAAACTTGGCAACTTTAAGACTTGTGGACTTCAACTCCCAGAATTTCTGGGAGTTGAAGTCCACAAGTCTTAAAGTTGCCAAGTTTGGGAACCACTGCTGTTATTGTTCGGTTGTCTATGTGTCCCTGTTCGGTTTTTTTGTTTTGAAACCTGTGAGCAGCCGATAGTTGTGTATGTAAAATGTGTGGCTGCACAAACTGAATGAATGACTTTTGCTTGTAAATAAATCCCACGAGAGAGAGAGAGAGAGAGAGAGAGAGAGAGAGAGAGAGAGAGAGAGAGAGGGGAAGGGAGGGAGGGAGGCATGAATGCCTTACAGAAATGTTTTCCAGTCTTGCAATTTTAAGATGTGTGCATTTCAATTCTGGGGAGTTGAAGTCCACGCATCTTAAAAGTTGCCAAAATTGAGAAATACCGCCTTACATCCAACGATGCAATTCTCACAGTTAGGAGGCTGGCAAGGTTTGGAGGACCGGGGTGCAAAAACTCACAGAAAAAGTGGGTGTCTTTCCCTTAATTTATGTGGGACACAATTCCTGGGGAAACGAAAAGGCTTGTCTTGAACCCACACATTCCTAGAGGCAAAAAAAAAACCCTCTTCTTCCCACATTTTCTCAGAGTCTCTACAAAGGAAAGCGGAGCAAGTCAGCCCCAGCTCCCTTCTCGCTTCACCTCGTCTGCTCCCGATCGTGTTTTCAATTCTCTCTCTTTTAATTTTGCCGCCTGCCTCGGTTTCCCTTTGCTGACCCAGTGACTTTCCTGCTCTTGAATTGAATCTCTCGGGGCTGAGAGCCGACTCTTGTAAGAGCTACGTTACTCAGTCAGATCATGCCAGAAATATGATCCCCCCTTTTCTCTTACAAGATGTAAACACGTCTCGGCTCCTTTCACAGCAGCTAGGGCTGCATCAGAGGTCGATGTTTCTCCCACGAAATGCATAGAAGAAAAGTATTTTTTTCCAGCCTCTTGTTTTGAGAAAGTGGCCCACCCACACAGTTGGGACCCAGATGGAAAAGAGGTTCCTTTTGGAAAGCAAGCAAGAGAGGGGCTTGTTTTCCCAGTGCAACGTGGAACCAGGCCAGCTGAAAACACCTTTATGCTTACAGCAAGCCTCGATCAGCCAAAGCAGAAGTTTTTAAGGAATTGGGATTCTTCGCTTCTCTTTGGAAGTTGAAACAGCCCCAAGCTCAGCCTCTGAAGAGGGGGGGGGAAGCGAAGTTTGCCCTGCCTATGGAGAGTCATCCAAGTCCCGGTTGTCCCCAAAGAGGCTTTTTCAAAAGGCAGCTGGACTTCCTTTCTTTTCTTGAAGGTGTTTCGCTTTTCCCGCAAGAAGCTTTTTTTGGGACAAAGTCTGTGATGTGATGTGCATTGAGTACCTGATATCCATGAGGGCTCCTGGCGGAAAGACGGTCTGCGTTGAGGGTCTGTCATGGGAAAATGGGTTTTGTTCTGTGCCCCAAATGTTGGAATGTGGTCCCCATCCAAGCGATCAGCAAATGCCACCGGCTCAGAGAGGGAGGGTGGATTTCATGGGGCCACCCATGGAGTCCTGGGCTCTTGAATGTTTTGGGTGAAATGGAGAACTGCTGTGTGTGTGTTGATCCAAGGAGAACATCCGAGGAGCTTTACGGGGTGGAATCAAGGAGCAACCATTTGCTCTACTCCAGCACGTAAGTCTCTCCCTCTACGTGGTTCCCTCCTGTAAAGACCGGTGGGATGAAAACCAGTGACTTCCAGGCCAGGCAAAATCGTTAGGGAAACCTTGAACCAAAATCTCCCAAACGGGAAGAGAACAGCCCAATTTCCGTAGACTTGAAAGGGGAGGAAGACAAGATCTAGGATTTGAACCCCCAAGTGGGCATGGAGAAAGAGCTTAATTGCTACGTTTGGCGCGAGGCAGATCTTCTATGCAGATAGCAGCTTCTGTCTTAATTGCAATCAAGCCATTAAGTCAGCCGTGCTGAGTCTTTGAGCTTCTGGTGTAAGCCAGTTCTTGACCTGGGGGCGATGGAGCTGGAGAGTCAAGATTTATTGCCATGCANAGTGCCCAAGCCGAGGAGGGCCCACGCAAAGGACCCCGTCTCCAAGAAAGCAGGACCCGCAGAGGAGAGAACGGGGAGGCCGGAAGGCCCCGTGGTACACCAGCCAGGGACCACCCCTGCACACCCATCCGCCAAAGAAGGGACCCCACAGGTTGCCCACGCAGGGAACCACCTCAAGGTGAGCACGGAAACGGCTGGGACGGAGGAAGGAAACGTCTTCCCCATGAACGGGGTGCAGAGTGGTGAGGGGGAGGCGGAAGAGGACGAGGAGGAAGACTACGAGACCCCCAGGGACCACGGAAGCCTCTCCGGCAGCTCCCCTGCCCATAGCTGCGACCTCTCCAACGCGTCCTCCGTCCACTCTGACAAACACGGGGGGGCGGCCCAGATGTGCCCGCTGCGGAGGACCAACTCCGACTTCCTTCTCAACGGAGAGGGGCCCGGCCTTCACCACTTGCCACGGAAACTGAGTGAGCCCTACGTCAGCCGGGGAACCTTTGTAAGCCCCCTGGGGAGCCCCCCACCAAGGCTTACTCCGCCTCTGGAGGAAGCCGCTCAAAGGAGGAGGCGGAAAAGTGACAGCTTGGAGGAGACGAGGTGCGTTTGGGAAAGGGGCCACCCCCTGCATGCTTTACCTGCTGGCTACATTACCTGTACGAGCGAGGCTCCACAGGTAGGCATCTCTGTGGGAGCGTTCTACCCTTAGCATGTGGGCTCAGCTCTAGCAGGGCTCCCTAGCAGGAAACGTGGCTGTCCTCTAACACAGAACGTGGGTGGTGAGGACTGTCCCAGCCGTCCCTGGGGAGAAGGGCCACTTCCAAGGGTGCTCCTTGTGGGAACCTTCCTTGGAGAGGTGGGCTGGGGGGCAAGGACGACCCTTGAGTGCTCCTGCTCAGAAACACACTTGTACTAAATAGCTGCAAAGACGGAGAGAAGATAGGAATCCTGTCTCCTTGAGCATCGTATCTTCTCAGTAGGCCACTAAACATGGCATCAGCCCAACTGTTCCCTTCTGCCCATGGTTCCCAGAGCCAATGAGGTCTCCAATGCTGGAGGGTCAGATACAGGCCTTAAGATCAGTGGCCACAAAGAGCTTCATCCTCTTTGTCTCTTCTCCTGTCAAAGCCATCCAAGCTGGTGGCCTTCACCACCCTTTGGGCCAGCAGTTCCAGAGTTTCCCTGTGAGGGCACCAGCTCTAGGAAATATCCCTCTAGATCAGATGCCAATAGCAATAACCAATCGATCACCCAACCCTTGGCCTTGGCCATGCCTTCCATCCCAACCCAACTCAACCCAACCCCATCAGCTCATAAAAACGTTTTTTGCATCCACCAACATTTCATTGGGGTATTGAGAGGCTGGGCTGGAACCCCGAAGAAGATCCTTTGGCTGGGAATTATGGGAATGGAAACTCAGGCCAGACCCATCCAATGGGGCGGCGGGAATAGAACAGTTGTAAAATAATGGTTGATATCGGGAGCTGTCCATGAGGGGGTGGCCGTCTATTATAGCCATTGGTCGCAAGTGGGAATCATCTGCAGTCGCTCTCCTCTCCCAATAGGGAAGTTAGGAGGCAACTGGAAGCGGCAATTGTTCGTTTCTCTGAGAACGGCAATTAGCTCTGGCTGCTTAATCTCGTGGGCCCAGAGGCAATATGTCTTCCAGGCCCACATTTCTCTCCCATCTTGGATTGCGACACTCTCTCAAGTTGAGCGGCCTCTTCTCCCAGAACTGCTTCTGGTATGGGATCAGAACAACCAGCTCCATAGTTTTAAGTCGTCCCCACCCCCACCCCCAATTTATCAAGCCTTTCCCAAGAGCTCAACTCTTGAGAAGACCTTCATCTGCACTAAAGCTGTGACCCGTCAAAACCGCGGTAGACAAAACCGCGCTTGACGAAAGCGCGTAGCTGACATCATCATCAGCGCGACGAAAAAAATTAAAAATTAAATTGNGGGTGAAGAGGGCGCCCAGATGCATTTCCCATTTCCCAAGAACCAATTGTAGAGCTCCTTGTTCCCAATGGCCAACAAAGCTGCATCTTGCAGGGGATGACAAAAAGTTATAAAAGCCGAGAGAGGGGGGGAAGAAACAGGAAACCTCTTGCATTAAACGTATGTTGGGACAAAGAAAGACTTTTACACCTCAGTTGGTGTTGTTTCAAACGGTGGAGCCACCATGCACACATCCTAAGATTCGTTGTCCCCATTTTGCAAGCGAAGCACACGGGGGGGAAAGAGGGGCGGGGCTAAGGCCACGGGTGAGTTTTGAGTGGTGGTGGGTTTCCAAAATGCTACGTCAGAAAAGTGGCTGGGGATGGGACCAGGTTTGTCGCGCAGTCTTCCCCTCGAAGCGTTCTTGGTGGCCCTGAAGCACGGCTGAAAAGATACGGGGCAGAGCCGATGGGTTCACTCTGAGCCCTTTGCCCTCTTGCTAGACACACACACACACACACACACACATTCCAGGGGCCAAAGATGAGATACCTCCCTTGGTCTCGTTTTCCGAACCATGGAGCTGCACTTTACCCATCGGGCGGTTGTAAACAAAAGCCACCTTTGCCTTGCATCGCCCTGGAGGGAGGCCTCATCCTGCTCGGGTGTTTTCTTTGAAAACTCGGTTCCATGCGGCTCCACCTTCAGCACATAACGCTGACAAAAGGCTGTGGAAGGGAGCTCGCATCTGTTTACCTTTTTCAAAGCTCATAAGCTGCTCCCAATCAAAGCCAGCTCAGTTGCTTCAAAGATCTGGAGATGTTTGCTCACGTGGGCTCCAGGGGGAAGCTGGATTCTCTAGTTTTCTCAACCTCAGGAACTTTTAAGATTTGGGGACTTCAACTCCCAGATTTCAGGGAATTGAAGTCCCACCTCCGAGATCCTAAAATTCCACGATTCCCTTTGGGGGAACAACAGTTCCGTTCCCATCAACCTTGGTGTCCATCTGAGGACACCTGAGCTTCGGCACCATCACGCCTGGCAAGAGTCGGCACGCAGGTGCGAGGGGTCAGCCCCAAGGCACCCTGGGAAATGCCTCCAGCACATGTTTGCCCAGTGACTCAGCCTTTGGCTCTAGCTGTGATTCTGCTCCTCTTCCCTGCCAACCCTCCGCCTTGGCTGTTTGCTCCCCGGTTTCTTTTTTGTTCTGCTCCAGCTCGGCTCAATCAACAAATTGCTCTCACTTAAGACAGCTGCCCCAACTGCATTTTTCCCCCTTCCTTGTTGTCAGTTGGGGCTGCTGGTTTTCAATGGACTGTGCTGGCTTTTCTTCCGTGGAAAATGAATACCTCATCACGTCATTCATTCACTTCAGAACAAAACAAGGCGTTCAGCCTTAAAATGCTGGCGGGGCGAGGAAAGGCCTGAAGAATGAAAAATAAAATATGTTTTTGGAACGAGAGCAATTAGGAGTTAATGGTCTCCACCTTCTTCCTGGAGATTTCCCCTCGGAGGCTCTTCCCTTTGACCCAAACATTTGACGAAGTTCTCGAGAACTTTTAAAGCAGCACCCTCTTCCAGATGAGCCACTTGTTGACTTTTTGCCAACCCATCGCCTTTCTTGAGTTCAGAACATCCGAAATGTGAGCCTAGTCATAGCAAAGGCAATAAAGATGGGGAAATCCAGCTTTTTATTAACTTTCCTAAGAACTCTGTACGTGGCCTTTGACTAATCCCTCACATCCTCTTCAAGCTTCGGGGCTGCTCCTTAAAACCTGCCCATCGTTGGCACGCATTGACATTTTCTACAAAGGAACTTCTATATCCCTTCCTTCAACTTCCCTCTTTCTCTTTTCTTCTCCCTTTCAGTTCAGTTCAGTTTATTACATTTATATGCCGCCCTTTTCCCCCGAAGGGGACTCAGGGCGGCTCACAACTCAACCAGGGAAGGGGGATACAGACAAAAAGTAATTTAAAAAACAAAGCATCACAATGCATAATTTAAAAACATACAACAGAATCATACCATTCGAGAC